AATTTGTCATGTATAGTTCTTTAGTGTGCAAGATAAGTGCAATGTGAAACCAAAACTGACCTGATCAAACATATACAATGTAACAAAAATATTACTTTTGGGTGTGAAAAGGCCATAAGTCTATTCACAATGATGAAACTAAGTCTTTTAAGAACTGCATTTCAAATCAACAATGACACACTGTTAAAAAAACAAAAACAAAGTTCAATTGTTATTATTGTCAGTCAATGGCATTGAAAGTGTTTATTTAATTATTTATGTTATGAGTGAAACCGAATATGTGGGCGGGGTATAGCTGTGAATAGATATGAGAAGAATTTATATCAAGTCCTTCAGAGTTAAAATATTCTGTCCAGCTTTGTGTACTAATTGGCTATGAAAAATATCCCATGCTGTTTTTATATGTACAGTGGATACTGAACAGCTGGTTAATTAATTGCCCGTCAAATCAAGCTTTTAATCAGAAGCTAAACTGTGGCAGCATGCTCTGTCCAGACAGAATTTTCAATTATTTATTTTTACATTTTTCGTAACAAGTTTTAGAGTTTTGTCACTTTCATGATGTAGCAATGTATCGGGGGACATCCTGTTCAACCTCAGCAAGCGCTGTATGCTTTAAAACCGCTAAAAACGTCTTTCTTATAACAATGCATAGTTGTGACTAAGAAGCAACAATCAAAGTTAAAAAAAATGTACTGTTTATTAAGAGTTTAGCAGTGAAAAGCTCAGATAATGTGCTTCACTGAGACTGTGTTCATGTGGTTTGATCAGAGTTTAAAAGCAACAACAGGTTTTCAGGGCCTTTAAACATTTGGGAAGGATGGTTTATTTATTTAATAAACAATCTTCCTACCACTGGTAGTATTAAACAAAAGCCTCCTTTCTTGTCAGACAATGTCTCAGCTGCCAATTGATAACTCTCTTAGAAATTGCACTGCAGTAGAGCAGCGACATAGGAAGTGTGTGGGTGATAAAATTAATGAATAATCAGTCCCAAGTTCACCAAAATCACACAGCACATGGGGGGGAACAAATACTCTGATGAGAAAGCACATTCACTGATTCATGCGGTAAGAAAAGGGCAGCACAGAAAACTCACCTTGTTCACTATCGATTGTGCGGGGTAGATCATTTAAACAATTCAATTACAGCAAAAGCCTTTGTAACACTAAATTGATCTCTGTTTTTCATTTAGTGTACATCATCAGTAAATGTGTTATGAAGAGTGGGGCTCCTATAGCATTATGGTTATGTGTTTGCTAAACTGTCTGGGCTGGAAATCATTTCTTACAGGGCCCTTGGTTCCTGACAATGACTATTTATATGCTCGGCGACCCACCTGCTCATCCTAGTAGGACGTGATTGGATGTTGGCCCGCTTCCAGTCTGTGACGCATCGTGGTGCCTTCTAGGCATTAAACCCTAAGAGCTTTGCTGGAAAGCACTGAGAATATTCTATTTCAATGTGCCACTTTGCAATTCACTTTGGAGAAGCACGACTGAATCGAATAGAATTTAGAATGACTTGAGTTACTAAAATCAGGGGAAAAATCTTCCCACAGAAATATTTGCCATTCTGTCTTAAAGCACAAAAAGGTGTCATGGATATCAGTAGTGGATATTAGACTGGGAGGACAATCTAAATATTTCACAAAAATGGTTGAATGGTGTTACTTGTGCGCTGTAGTAGGGTACCAGCAGTCACCAATACCCAACAGAGAGCTACCCATTCATCTCCCGCACCTTCAATGTGACACTTTCTTCCCTTCCATCTCTTCCATTTGCTCCCTTATTAGACGTTGTGAAGTGGTGTTTGAATTTGGTTCCTGGGCCTCTTTCTCTGCTGCTTGCAGTAGCTCAACACAGAGAAGGAAAAGAAATATGGGCCCACGGAACGTATTTCACTGGCACCAGCTTGACATTGATGGATAGAGGATCATTAGACATTTGCCAGTTTGCTTGGCGTAGAGTTATTTTCAGCAATAATGTATGGGAGAGGGAACGGGGGCTGGAGGAGGGCTTCTGTTAAGATCTCAGAGGGCCACAGATTCCAGTTGGGTGGAAGTCTTAAAACTAAATGTAGGTGGTGGAAACCACGGAGGGGCACAATATATTGCATTGCAGGTTTACTTTAGTAAACCCTGATTAGATTCATAGTGCAGACCTGCCCCAACCTTTTTAGCTAGATGAACTCAAACACCCCTTCACTGACACCACCTGTCATGTTTCAAATGTATTCATTTGAACTGATTTTCAACAGGATGTTATTTAACACTATCGTCTATATAAAAGTGGACATTGGTAGCCTACAATAATATTTCCATACAATTGTACTATCAGTGTGTGGGTGGTTTAAGCCTCCTTGCTTTAAGCTGAACCATTTCAACCATGTATCCATTACTGTTAGCTAACTATTTCAAGTGTGTGTGTGTGTGTGTGCGTGTGTGTGTATATATTAGGGCTGTCCCCAACTAAGGATTTACATAGTCGAATCAGAATCATCAAGTTCTGCCTGTAGTTGACTGATAGTCGAATCATGTGTGTTTTTGTGCATGGCGATTGCAAGCTGAAGCTAAACTGAAGCTTATTGACCCTTTTCTCTCTCTCTCTCGCCTGCCATTCACCGGTCAGAGTTTTGCATACATGCCTACCGACAACTGCATGCATGTTGCGGTTCCTCCCGGGTCTATTTCAAGTAGCCAGCTGTTTAAAAACGATATAATATTCTTTTTGTGGTGAAAAATTATCCAAAAGTACAGCGAGGTGCGGACAACTCGGCACACCAGTGAAGTTGAGGCTAGGTCTCTTCAGCAAGTGTTCCTCCTGCCACTACACACATACATACACGCTATACCTATACATGCGCACTGAAGACCCAAGGTTAGGGTTACAAATTTGGATTTATTCACGCACTTTAAAAACATTTATTGAAAGTTTTTTTTCTTTTTACATGTTAATTTACAGCATTAAATGTTGAAATGTGTATTGTAACGTTATTAAGTTATTGTCAGAAAACTGGTAGTTCTATGTAAAATGATGTTGAGCACCCCCATATTGCCAAAATGGCATGATCTTTGTTTCACTGCGAAGCTTCGACTGTGAGATTGACAGTCGAATCAGGCTCAACCCATCGAATCTTCAACTATTCGGGGTCAGCCCTGATATATATGTATAAGTAAATCTACCTTGTACCATGTACCTTTTTAGCTGAGTTGCACAGAAAAGATGCGCATTGCCAGTCAGTATTGACTCAGACATCTCTCCCTTTCTCTGCAGTCATGGTCCTGCTAATTGTGACAATGCGTCGGAGGAGGAAGGAGCCTCTGATTCTGGAGGAGGAAAGGGACATCAGAGAGAACATCGTACGTTACGACGACGAGGGCGGGGGCGAGGAGGACACAGAGGCCTTCGACATGGTTGCCCTCCGCAACCTAAACGTCATCAGAGACCCCAACGTGCGGCGAGATGTCACACCAGATACTCCCACCTTCTTTCATTACCCATCAACCACTCGCCCGGCCTATAAATCCCTGCCGGACAACGTGGTGTTTCGAGAGTTTATTTGGGAGCGACTTAAGGATGCTGATGTGGACCCGTCAGCTCCCCCATATGACTCTCTGCAGACATATGCGTTTGAAGGCAGCGGCTCTGTAGCAGAGTCGCTAAGCTCACTGGAGTCACTAAGTACAGACTCAGATCAGAACTATGACTATCTCAGCAGCTGGGGACCACGCTTCAAAAAGCTGGCCGACCTGTATGGCAACAGCGACGGCACCGGTGTCTTCTCTTAGCCCCTAAATTTCTCTCCTAACATTTCTTGGACTTATAAAAAAAATAAGAGTAATATATTGTCAGAGAAAATGATTTTGTCTGCCTTAGTGCATTGGAGGAAGATTCAAAGACAACACAAGCGAGATTGAAAGAAAAACACTTTGACTTCAAAGGTTTTCAGTTTGTTTACCTCCTTGTATGGATTTTCAAAAGCGTGCCATGGTGAGTTTTGACACAGACTTCAAAAGTGGCTTGACTGAGGAGGAAACCTTGTGTGCAAAAGACATTAAAGGTTTCAGATTTTGGGCTTCAGTCCAACTATTGACTGCAGAATGCATACATGTTGGAGCATTCTTATGGGGAGGCACCTGTCCTTTCATTCCAGCGATGGGCACGGGCCCAGCACTCTTGCTTTGATGCATTCCTTTGCTATCTTTGTGCTAAAAGAAACATAAACGTTTCTCATGAAATGCTGTCTCCCTGGCGGCTAATCAGCAGTCACTTGACTGTTCATATAAAATTTGCCGATTTCTATGGGTTTTTATTTTCTTCTTCCTCTTTTTTTTGGGGTTCCGGGGGAGGGGGGGTGTTGAGAAGCTGTTTTTCATAAACATTTAAATACGGAGCAACATTATTCATGGACTCTGTCAAACATTTCAACACTATATGAAAAGTGCAGTATAAACAAGTAGTTGATGTGCTAAGGAAGTGATGTGAAGACATAAGTTGTGCAAATAATAAAAAGAATGACACGCTCGACAGTTTGATGTCTCCACTGGGTAAAACAGGAAAGCATATCATTTCTCTTATTCTAACAATACATTTTGCAGATGTTGCAATGTAGTGTTTGTCTGAGTCTGTTTTTTCTTCCGCCTTTCTATGGCCAAGTCCAATATGTATGATTTCTGAGCTATAATTCAGTTGTTCTGCTTTTGTATAGGGGGCGGGGGACTGGGAACATTTGCTACATGAGAAAGCTTTGCTGAAGGATCTGTCTTTGTTGTGTTTGATAGCGAGGTTCACGCCACCTAGACTCTAGAAAAAATTACTTGTTTCTGAAGTGACAGTCCGTAACTGGGTGAAGTTGCAGTTTGTAAGTAAATGAATTTTGCTTCTGTAGTTTGCAGAGTCCAGCATATATTGTCATTCAGAAATGAAATCATTGATGTCCATGGTTTGTTTATTGATGGTGAAAGGACATACTGTATGATAATAATCATGTGCCGCATTGTGCCAGTTTTGTTTATCCAGCTTAAACAAGTTACATGTTACAATTGGGAGTCAACATGTACAACCGATATGTATTATTATTTATTTTGAAGAGGCAGAATTGTGCAAATGATGTTTTATCCTTTTGCTGAAAATAAAAGACATTCAGTTCCTTAAAGACTTAAATGATTTCTTTCAGTCCATCTGAATAGAGAGAAGTAAGTAAATGAAAAGAGGTTATTTCTGATAATAAACAGCCAACATCTGACAATAATAATCAATGATTTAAAAGAAATGGTGCTTCACAATGTGCATGTGATGAGCTCGAGGAACTAGACGGGGGTTAAATAGCGATGGGGAGACTATTTTTGATGAGGCTTTTGTAGTTGAAAGGCCTGATCCAGACAAAGCACCGACGCTCCACCGAGGCGTGTGTGATGACTGCGAGGCTCACCTTCGGCCATCGAGGAACCTTGTGCAAGTTAGTCAGGCCTGCTTCAATCACAGTAAGCTCCCTTAAAGGTGCATTCAAATACTGCACCTAATGTGACGCCTGACAAAGACACGTGTACACTGTCTTCATTTGACTTGAGCCAGGGCTCCATGACAGTACAAACTAAGAAATGTTTAACAAACCAAAAAGGTCTATAAAATGTTCTTATATTTTCACATTTTATTATTTAACAGTTTTATTTTTTATATTCTGAAAATTTGATCTCCTTGCAAGGTGCTAAATGTTGATTCAAAGGATTTATATTGGACTTTAAATAGCAACATTTAAGAATATTTTCTTTAAGATTATCTGAATGAGCCTTTAAAACACACCATGTGTAATTTTTGTGTAACTGCAAAGTGTTAACACTTCTTCTTTCATGCTATTCAAATCCCCCAAATCCCACAGACAACAACCAAGACATGTCCTCTCTGTCTTATGGTTACACCCACCTGACAAACTTTCATAATATTGTAATTTTTTTACATTTTCTATATTTATTTAACATTGTATTTTCTATGACTGTTATCTCCTTTAAAGAATATTAAATGTTGTTTTAACATGACGTGACATGTCCAGACTTTTTTGACTAGGGTGGCCCAAGTGGGGCACTGACTTATGTAGGGATGGCATATGGTATGTCTGCACACACACACACACACACACACACACACACACACACACACGTCGGAATAGCATTAATTTAGCATTTCTCATATGTACTTTAATTGCTAACATAACAGTATCTTACATTCCTGTGTTACGAATTTTATTTAAAAGATGAATAGACCTACCAATCACTACACAACAGAGCAGCAACGTTACAAATGTTATTTAAAGCTGTCATGCTTTATTCTGTGAGAATAATGTCCCACCTCTGACCAGGCAGTCACAGACAATCACAGTTTTATAATATGGTGGAATAATGGTGTGGAACCTTGGGTGGCCAATCATATTTCAGGCTCAGGGTTTTCAAAGACCTTATTTTGGCCTAGAAGCGTGCAAATTCAAGAATATGGTCGTCTTCCCATTTGAAATATCTGAATAAGCCTTAAAAATGTGTAACAACAGAATGTAAATTCTTCCTCACAAAGCCCCCAAAATTCAAGAGACAACACCTAAGGCTCCATGTCTACCTACGGCCCTGACGAGAAGACTTGCCTATAGAGTACCCTGGTCAATTAATTCAACACAGCAATGTTGAAAAGACATGAGGATTCCAGATGCGATCTATAACCAGCAGTTTAAATTGTACCTCTAATTTCAGTCGGGTCAAAATCGACTATTACACCTCTAAGACAGTTTGGGAACCATTTAAGTTGGAAATGAAGCTGTAATACTTCAGCTTTTGGATGCAAAAATTGTGGCCCTTGTCAATGAATGTTTGGGGCCTCTTTTATCAGTTTGGGGTATTATGTGTTGGTACACCCACTGCACCAACATATGCAGGTGATACACTGTCTCCATTTGAGCCAACCAATTAACCAGGGAGATCTCCTGAATTTTAGAAATACTGGTGTCCGGGGGCAAATTCCAACAGTGCAACTCCCCCAGCCCTAAAGACATTTTTTACTATAGGCGTACTGGAACAAAAAAGTAGGTTAAATTTTAATAATATTTTAGATTTGCCATGGTAAATATAATATAGGTTAACTGTTAATTACTATACCATAGTTTTCCTGTAAGTGAACTTTCATACAAAATATATGGTCCACAGCAGCATGTTACTGTAACTGGAAGGTAGCCAGTAAGGATTACTGTATTGTTTGTATTCCACACAGCGCATTGGACGTTACAAATTGGGAGAAAGTTAGGAAGACCCACAACATTTTGTCTCCTTTCTTTTGCGTTGTTGTTGGTCTTGACGTGGTATCATGAGCTCAAATTGGACCATGACCTGCTTTGATCCATCTTTTGATGGTAAATACATTTCCTTTATATCTAGAAATATATCAAAAATATATCTGCTAAAATCTGTTGCAGAGTACATATGAAATCCAGAATCAATTTGCACTGGTTCTTCCATTATGTCACTTTTAAATTCAAGCAATAACTGTAGTCAAGTATGCAAATCTAACACAGGTGATGACCCGCAACAATGTAAATTTGTTAGCCAACTAGTGTCTCTTAGCTGTTGCTGCATCTCGACAGCACACAGAGGTTCATGAATACAACTGACAGTATAATTCACAGTGATGCAAGAGATTGCAATGAACTTGTTATGCATCTTTGCTTGGTAAATATGTGTCTCCTTACAGGTATTGACATAGTTTCCAAAGCTTTGAACCTGGCAAAAACAAAACATCTGAGATTTTTTAAGTGCGAGTCAGGAGTAACCAAGGTCACTGTTTGTGCTCATTGTGATGCAGTTCACACAAACCTACAGGAAGGGATGTGGAAAGTGTTCTTTCTTACATATTCACAGGTTACTGTATATGATAGCCTCTTGCATAGCGTTTTCAAAACCACAAAGATCACTTATAAGAGCTAGACATAGCAAAGACAGTAGAAGGGTTCTTGTAGTAATCAGAAGATGAAAAACTCTTGAAGTGGAATTGGATGAAATTTAGAGTTGGTTGAAGTTTGAACATACAATAATTTCTTGTTAATACTTAATAATACTTTAATTCTAAAGCACCTTGAAACCTGAAAAAAAGGTAAAATGTTCAATACATTAGTAAAAATAACACATCCTTCTTCAAGAATAAAAAGTTGAATTCCTATACAATAAAACACCATTGCTGTATTCAGTATACTTTTGTGTGCTTGTTGCTTTAACCTCACTTGGTCTGGTATAATCAGTATCTTATGGCAGTTAATTTTACCAAACTTTATAAAGGGCATTGTACTACAAAGAATATTTATTTGAATAGCACTTCTCAAAAACAAAGGTTTACACAGTGTTTAACAATTAAATTAAAAGTACATAAAAACATTACATTACAAAATTACAACAACAAAAGGGCTAAAGTAATGTTAAATACAAAATCAGTGCAATAATTACAATAAAATTAATTACTGCAAAATGGCCAAACCATAATTCAAACTAGATTTAAATATATTGATTGTTGGGCATTGCTCTGATGACCTCAGATAGTGCAAAGGGCACTAACAGTAACAGTTCTACAGTGTATTCTGGGGCTTTATCATGTAATAAATTATAGGTAATTAAATTAAATTGATTCTAAACAAACTGGGTAATGAACTGGGAGCCACTGTAATGAAGTTAAAATGGGAGTAAGTTGAAGTTGAGAAAAAAGAACATTACAGTTGTCTAAACGGGAGCTTTTTTTTTTGTCTTGAGGTGTAATGATGGATCTAATTTTTGCAGTATTTCTGAGCTGCAGGAAACTTGTCGGGGTCAGTTTTGTGATGTGTTTGTTTAAACATAGACTGGAGTCAAATCGTAATCCTAAAATCTTGCACACTGGTACTCACTAGATAACCATCTAGAACCAAAGGATTGTTGATCTGTTTTGCCAATGTGAGCTGGAGCGATGATTCATACCTCAGTTTTGTCAATATTAAAGTGCAGTCATGGAGAATCAATAGTCTGTTAAGATCATTAGGATCAAAAGAAATGTACCACTGCATATCATCTGCAATAAAAGTACAGAACGTTTGTCTCCCTTTTCTGATAGTAATTACACAACACTGTCGACACGTGTTTATAGGCTCTGCCATACTGAGTTGAAGCTGTTGCTACGGATGCTCCCCCTTCAGCTCTGGCAAACCAGTCATTTCTGGTTGGAATGTCACCACAGACTCAAGGTTTAACAACTATTTTATACTCCAAATACTCCAGATTGATTGGCCTGGGGGTGATAGGCTTAATCAGCATTGTGCAGAC